TTCTTCTTCTATATAACCATTTAAGAATGCACTTTTGACATCCATCTGATACAGAGTGATGCCTCTATTAACAGCAAATGAGATTAAAAGTCTGATAGATTCTAACCTGGCGACTGGGGCAAAGGTTTCTGTATAGTCTATCCCCTCTTGCTGACTATAACCTTGTGCAACCAGTCGTGCCTTGTTTCTGACGACTTCACCTTGTTCATTGAGCTTGTTTCTGAACACCCATCTTGTTCCAATGACGTTGAATCCTTTTGGTCTGGGAACGAGATCCCATACGTCGTTTCTGGTGAATTGATTCAGCTCTTCTTGCATTGCCAGAATCCAGTCATTGTCCAGAAGTGCTTCATCAATAGAAGAAGGTTCAATCAGAGACACAAGTCCCATCAGAGTTTCTTCAGAGTTTCTGAAGCTTGCTCTTGTTCTGATTGGATCTTCCTTTCTTCCTAGGATAGTTTCTTCTGGGTGATCCAAACTGCTTCTGGGTAATCTCTTCTGAGGTTGATCAGCAGCAGTTGTAGGATTTCTAGCATTTCTTCTTTCAGACGTTGAAGGAATGTCTGTGTTGAGAGCTTCTGATGACTTGTCTTCAGAACCTGCAAATTCAATTTCTATACCTGCAAGATTTTCATTCTGCTTTGACTTTTCAGAGTCAAGCTTATCATCAAAACGAACACTGATTGATTCTTCCACAATCTGTGTTTCTGTATTGTATACTCTGTACCCTCTTGAGCGTTCAGAGTATCCTAACATAATACACTTCTGTGCCTTAGAATCAAACTTGTTCAAATAATTCTTAGTATTCAATATAAAGCAAGTACATCCAAATGGATGAAAGTACGAAATGTTGGGCTTTCTGTTCTTCCACAATTCATATGGAGTCTTTTCCAGAATAGGTCTTATTGAGATTCTATTCTGAATGTAGCACGCTGTGTTTATTGCCTCTGCCCAGAAAGTCTTAGCAACGTTTGTCTCATTGATCATGGTTCTGGCCATTTCTTGCAATGTTCTGTTCTTTCGTTCTACAACTCCATTTTGTTGGGGAGTTCTAGGACAAGAGAAATCATGCAGAATGCCTTTGTCATTAAAGAATGACTCAAAATCTTTATTTTCAAATTCTCCACCATGATCACTTCTGACTTTAACGATTCTAAGATTTTTTTCATTCTGAACTTGGTTACAGAAGATAACAAACACAGAGTGTGACTCGTCCTTGTGTCTTAAGAACTTTACCCATGTCCATCTGCTATAGTCATCTACGATTACTAACCCATACTTCTTGCCACTGACTGAAGCAGTTTTAACTGGTCCAAATAAGTCAATGTGTAGAAGTTCTAATGGCTTAGAGGTAGAAACAACATTTTTGGATTTAAATGAAGGTTTTGCAAATTTGCCTTTCTGACATGCTTCACACAGAGCATCTGAATTGAACTTCAAATTTGGAAGTCCTCTGACCAGATTGAGTTTGTTAATCTGAGATATTCTTCTCATACTAACATGCCCCAATCTTCTGTGCCAGATCCACTGCTCGTTGTTAACAGACAGAAGACATTTTACGTTCTGACTCTTTAGTTCAGAAAGTTTGATTTTGTAAATGTTGTTTTTCCTCTTACCATTAAACAGGATAGTCCCATCTTTCTGACTAACAGCTTTACATGATTTTTGATTAAAGATTATATCATAACCATTATCACTTAATTGACTTATGGATAACAGATTATGCATCAATCCATCAACTAGCAGAACATTATTAATAGAGGGAAGATTTCCGTTACCTACAGTTCCAGAGCCAATTATCTTTCCCCTCTGATTGCCTCCAAAGCCAACGTGGCCTCCAGGCTTAAGTTCCAGGCTTTGGAACATATGCCTTCTTCCCGTCATGTGTCGTGAGCAGCCAGAGTCCAGGTACCATGACTGGTGTTTCTGATTTGCTGCTAAAGATATCTGCAACATGTATTATTTTATCCTTAGGTACCCAGATCTTCTTGGGTCCTGATTTGTTAGTTTTACCAAAACTCTGGTTGAATTTTGGTTTCACCGAGAACTTACTACTGGTATATTTGATGTCATGTGTGTGACCATACACAAAGTGTGAATTTAAAGGAGTGTGTTTAATGGTTAAATCCATTACATTTTTAGGTGTAGGAACCTTACCTAGGTATCCTATTCCTTTCCTGCCGTTTCTGCTAACTCCATAGATCATTGAAGCCATTCTGCTTCTATCTATGCTTTTAGCAAGGAACTTCTGGAAACTATGATCATACTCCTTGATGATCTCATCAGCGTTGCTGGGAGTTTCAGAAATTGGTTCCTTCTGAGAGTTTTGTAAAGAGTTTTCTAATTTTGAAATTTTATCTCTCAGCTCAGAGTTTTCCAATTTGAGACTCTCAGACTTATTAGAGTCAGATTCAAGAGTCCTTTTCAGGTCTCTGAATTTAGCTCTAATCTGCTGATAACGTTCCAGAATTTCATTGAGGCTTTCAGCAAGTTCAGCCTTTGTAAAATTAACAGCGAAGTTAGGGAATACCTCTTCTGTGTCTGATTCTGAGTCTGATTCAGAAGCTTCACTGTCATCTGGAATGTTAGCCATGAGCGCTATGTTTGCCCTTTCATCATCTGATTCTGAGTCAGCTTCAGACGAGTCAGAGTCATCCCATGTGGCCATGAGACTTTTCTTCTTCTCTCTTCCAAACTTCTTTTTGGGCTTTTCCCTCTGAAGCTTTGGACAGTCACTCTTATAGTGACCTTGCTCATTGCACTCGTAGCAGATGATGTCTTTGGTGCTTGGCTTCTTGCTACTGGAGGAGCCTTCAGATCTTCTGTATCCAGAGGAAGAATCTGTCCTTCTGAATCTGGAAGATGACTCGTTCTGATCAGATCTTCTGGGATTCCTGAACTTCCTTTGTCTTTGCTTCCATAGTTGATTTACTCTTCTGGAGAGAAGGGAAAGTTCGTCTTCTTCTGATGAGGATCCATCAGATGTTTCTTCAACTGCCTGCAAAACTTTAGATTCAGATTTTCTGTTAGATTTTAAAGCTATAGGCTTACCTTGCTTCTGAGGCTCGTCAGCTTCCAGCTCTATCTCATGACTTCTGAGGGAGCTTATAAGTTCCTCCAGAGTGATTTTGTTGAGATCTTTTGCCAGCTTCAGAGCAGTAACCATAGGCCTCCACTGCTTGGGTAAACTTCTGATTATCTTCTTGACATGGTCAGCAGTAGAGTATCCTTTGTCCAGAACTTTGAGACCAGCTACCAGAATCTGGAATCTAGAGAACATAGTTTCAATGGATTCAGATTCTTCCATTTTAAACGCCTCATACTTCTGAATGAGCGCCAGAGCTTTTGTTTCCTTGACTTGAACGTTGCCCTCATGCGTCATTCTGAGAGAATCAAAGATGTTCTTAGCTGTGTCTCTGTTGGAGATCTTCTCATACTCAGTATAGGAGATGGCACTGAGGAGGATGGTTCTGGCCTTATGGTGATTCTTGAAATCACGCTTTTGTTGATCAGTCATTGATTTTCTATCAATCTTCTGACCAGTTGCATTCACAGGGTGCGTGTATCCATCTGTCACCATATCCCACAGATCAACATCATGTGCTAGAAAGAAGCTTTCAATTCTGTCTTTCCAGTAGTCAAAGTTTTCTCCATCAAAGACTGGAGGTTTGCCGCTGAATCTGTCTCTGTCCTCATTGTTGTCATTGCTGAAATGAGAGTTGTTTCCTGCCATTGTGTTTTTCTGACGCTGGATCTTTTACTGACACGGTTAAGTGTTTTAGCTCAGAACCAGGCGCTCTGATACCAATTGAAGGGGTGAAAAACACAAGAAGGGGGGTTGAATTGTAAAACTGGAATCTTAAAGCAAATGACAAGATATTTTTATCCTGGTTCGTTTGATCTCAAACTACTCCAGTCCACCCGTCAAGGTGATTTCGCCTCTCTCCAACGAGGTCTTAATTCACTATATTCAACTGAATACAAATCTGCTTTAGCAACTGCTAAAACCTTCTTGATTCAAACCACAATCCGGTTTGTCAAGGCAACACTTTCTTACAAAGGTATAAACAAATGTGTGTGAATGTTTTCTACAAAACTATATCACAACTGTGATGTATACACAAATTAAGCTTAGAAACTTAGAATGCTAAACACTAATGGAGTATCAGAGTTTGTTGGTTTAGCAAAACTGGTAGATGAAGATTATTGATCAGCTTTGTGCGTGTAGAGAGTTGGAGAGCATTAGCCATGATAATCTTCGAAGCTTGGTTTATATAGCACTTGAGAAGATGAACGTTGAAGCAAATATTCTTGATTCAATGCTATTAACAAGCTTTCCTTTTTGAGCAGATCTTGTCTAGAATGATGCCGTTGGAATTAATTAGCGTTCAATGCACAGTACCGTTGCTTCTTCAATGCACGTTCTGGCTTGGCTCATTCTGATTCTGCTTCGCTGCTGATGAACTAATTGTTTCTGTATCAGAGTGTTTTACGCGCAGTTCTGTTCATCAAGCTACAGCATGTGCGTGAGTTGATCATCTGATCTTCACGTTCTGATTCAGCAACTTCTGATGTTGGTGTATCAAATCAAGTTCTGATGCTGAATAATTGATCTTGCTTATTTTAATCAGCATATCTGCAAGTCAGAGCATAGTAATTTTAGGCAGCATATAATTCAATCATAAAATGTTTAACTACTATATCTTTTCACTTTGTTATCATCAAAACTTAAATATAGGGTACTAGATTCAAACATTGTTCTAACATAGTTTGGCTTCAAAACTGCAGCAGTGAGACTGCACAAAATCTGCAAAATCTTCTCCAAGAAAATAGGTCTTCAATCATTAGTTTCCTAAAATGTCTCCATATTTAGAAACCAAGCATATCTTCAAAAACCAACATAAAATATTCTGATTTGTCAATCTTGGATGCCACATAAGCTAACTGAATATTCCCCGAAAATTTAGTAGCTAAAAAATCAACTGAACTATAACTGTCAGCTACTGCAGACGTGATGTCGTATCTCTTAGTTGGGACATCTTACTCGGCATGTTGAAAACATAAAGGTGGAACATCTTATTCAACATGCTGCTGCCAAAATATATTTTACCAAAATATATGCCAATCATAATTTCAGAGAAATAACAAAAAAGTGGGGGGAGATTGGTGGATGATGATGTGCAGGTAGAAAGTTTATTGGAAGAAGAAGGTTGCATGGAAGTGTAGATGAAGTTCGAAAGGGAGTATGTTGTAGAAGAAGGAATACGACAGTTGGTCGTGTATCAGTCTCGGAAGTGGGTTAAAGATGGTTGTCAAAGATAAGGGTGAGAAGGTTGGGCGTGAGATGAAGGCTGGGTGACGCGGAGGTTTTTGACGGACGAGGAAATCGAAGTTAGATGGCACAGGAGAGCAACAGATTAATGTTATGATGATGGGCTCTCTCCGGCTGTTTGGAAAGAAGAAGGTGATTTACGGATGGTGGTGTTGGCGGTAGACGGAAGTCTGTGGAACGTACATAGGAGGAAGGGAACGAAGGTGCTGCGAGATTTCGAAGAGAGAAGATAATGAATTCTCTTTATGAGTTTTTGTTTTTTTTCTTTTTTCACAAATCTCAAATTTTCCTCTTCCTTTTTTATCCCCTTTCGCCTTGTTATAACCAACCACAAAAATCTTATCCACCAACTTAGGTCTTGTAGAATGACATCAATAACCCTTTTACAAGATATTTTATGAGATATTTACAAAACTTACAATAAAATTAAATACTAATTAATAAACTAAATTACTTCATTTACTTAAAACAAAGATATATATTTTCTTTTTTTCAGAAGATTTAAAATTAAAACAAGATCTACTTTAAATAAAAAAATAACAAAACATATATAATTTTGATATTTTCTTAAACATAAAATAAAGAACGAAAACAATACCTAAAGAAAAAATGATAAAAATTAAAATAGAGACAAAAATGATGCAAGTGCGTGAAAAAATTCTAAGATGTGAATAAAAAATAAATTTGACATACGAATGCGAATGAGAAAAATTCAGGGTAAAATTTGGGGTGCAATAGCTGCCCCTATTTAAATATCTTCAACCAGATGATATGAAGATGATCAGACTTCACATAACCGTAGTGAGAGATAGTTAAATATTAAAGAACCCAAAGTTTTGCCCTGAGATGCAATGGGTATGAAGTGAATGAAATGTGACGAGAATGCGATGAATGCCCAACTCTTTTTTCTTTTATATATTTTTTTGAATGATGTATGATACGAGACAGGCTCTGAGAGAATATGGAAAGACACGAAACTAGAAATTTGTGGTAGTTGAATGATATGACGTGGGAAAATACATTGGGGAAACACAAAGAGATTAATGGCATCCAATATTGGAATTGGAGGGTGAAAATAATATATTGGGGGATAAGACATACAATTATAGACTTTGGACAATTACAAAACTATGAAAGAAGACCACAATATCCAATGATTTGCTTTGGATGAAGGGAAGAAAAAATAGGACATCCAAACTTTGACTTTGGACGAAAGAACGACCGCAACATCTATTCATTGGCTTTAGATGAAGGTAAACAGGTTCAAGGCATCCGATCATTGGCTTCGGATGAAAGACTACCGAAACACCCAATTATTAACTTTAGGTGAAGGGAAAACACGACATACAATTATTGGATTTAGATAGTAACAAAACTATGAAAGAAGACCACAACATCCAATGATTTGCTTTGGATGAAGGGAAGAAAAAATAGGACATCCAAACTTTGATTTGGACGAAAGAATGACTGCAAAATCTAATCTTTGGCTTTAGATAAAGGGAACAGGTTCAAGGCACCCGATCATTGGCTTCAGATGAAAGACGGCCGCAACATCCAATGATTAGCTTTGGATAAAGGGAAAACACGACATTCAATTATTGGCTTTGAATGAAGGGAAATAATTAACCGTGACATCCAATAATTGGCTTTGGATGAAAGAAAAGACTACAACATTCAATGATTTGCTTTGAATAAGGTGAGATAAATGACCATGACATCCAATAATTGGCTTTGGATGAAAGTAAAACATATCATCTAATCATTGGCTTTAGATGAGGGGAGAAAGTTTTATGAAGGGTAAAATACAACATCTAATAATTGGCTTTAGATGTATGAAGACCACAATATTCAATTATTTGCTTCGAATGAAGGGGAAAGGAATCATATCCAATAACTAGCTTTGGATGAGAGAAAAGAATACAACATCCAATAATTGGCTTTGAATGAGGTGAGAAACTATCTCGAAAATACATCAGACACATTCACGAATGACATTGGATGTAGAATGAGATCGAATATGAAGATTACATCAGAGACACCCAATATTGGCTTTGGATAGCAACACAAATCATGACATCTAATATTGGCTTTGAATGGAAGCAAAAGGTCACGACATCCATTATTGGATTTGGAGTGTAATAAAAATCCATGACACCCAATATTGGTTTTAGATGAAAATAAAAGATCATGACACCCAATATTGGCTTTGGATGGCAACAAAAGATCATAGCACCCAAAATTGGCTTTGGATGGAAACAAAAGATCATTGACATCTAATATTAGCTTTGGATAAAAATAAAAGATCACGACACCTAATATTTGCTTTGGAGTGCAATAAAAGACCACGACACCCAATATTAGATTTGGAAGGCTAGGAGAAACATGATATCCAAGATTAGCATTTGACGGAAAAGAGAATAACTCATCCAAGATTAGGATTGGACGGAAAAGGAAACAACATATCCAAGATTGGCATTAGACGGAAAAGAGAACAACATATCCAAGATTAGCATTGGATGGAAAAGAGAACAACATATCCAAGATTGGAATTGGACAGAAAAGAGAACAACATATCAAAGATTGGCATTGGATGGAAAAGAGAAACAGCTCATCCAAGATTGGCAATGGACAGAAAAGAGAAACAACTCATCCAAGATTGGAATTGGAGAGAAACAGCTCATCCAAGATTGGCATTGGAGAGAAATAGCTCATCCAAGATTGGCATTGGATGGAAGAGGTAAACAGACGGACGAACATCTTCTTTGGTAGGTGCCAAGTAAGTTGGACTTTAACCATAAGGTAAGATGTTAATAGCAGCAAGACCTCGAGTAATGAAAATGAGGATGAAATACTCTTATTATGCATCATATATGAATTTTGTTATGTGTGATATTGTGAATGATCTATGCATGTAATGCAGACGTTTACGATAATAGAGCTTGACTCTTTTGTGGAGGTAAGATTGAAACTCTGATTCCTCAACACATAGAACATTGCCAACTCTGCTTGGAAAGAAAATGTCTTGAGAATCAATTCTACCACACATTTGTAAATTGTATCGAACTGATGATCCTTTGAGGAATGGCAAGAAGAGATGCTTGGGGATTTCCCCAGATTGACTGATTGCTAAGGATAAACTGATCATGGCTTTAAATCTAAAAATGACTAAAGGGATAGAATTTCCCCAGTATGAGTCGTGAAAATGATATTCTGGCCAACCAATCTGAGAATAACTTGCACCGAGCAACACATTTTGAACTGATTCATAATAGGATATGGAAGATACTTTCCCCTAATAGGATCACTGACCAAGTTTCTCAAAATTTTGAATTTCCTTGATGAGGAAAGGTTGTTTATGAGCGAAATAGTTCATTCAAACATGGTAATTTTAATGAAAAGTTCATCCAAAATTTTTGAAATCAAAATCGTTTTTGGAATAATGTCATTAATGTATAAACGATGAATCACTGGTCAAAACACAACGGTTTAGACATCTAAAGTGAAAGATAAAGCAAAGGTATGATACCAAGACAAATGATTTGCAAAAGATCTTAGGAGTCAGTTTACGGTAACTTGCTGTAGTATGCTTTCAAAAGAAACCTGACTTCAATTAGGTCTTTTGAGGGTTGTAATGTGGTTTGGTTCATAATTTATGAAACAAAGGATAGAGGCTCAAATTTTATTTGTGCCCAACCAAATCTTCGTGATGTTCTTCAGTCCTAAGTTCATCTAAATCAACCTATGCAATCAGGTTCCAAGAGATGTGAAATTGTATAGATGATAGTAATGATGATGGCTCAGAAGCTAAGAGATTCTTGAGAAGGCAGTCACTTCTTCTTACAATATTTTGTTGTTGAGAACTTTTGTCAACTCTAGTAGAGAATTTTTAGGATTTGAGGACCTCTTTATTTTGAATTTGTTATCCCTAACTTTTTCCTAAACAATTTCATTTGAGATTACAGTCAGCGGGATGACCCCGTTTTTTTGCCTAAGTCTCCTTCGTAGGTTTTGTCTTAGCGAGCTTTTTATTTGATATTCATTTTTTTTAAAGATAGTGACTGCTAGGCTTAATGATTACGGAGAACCATCATTGTCACTTTTGATTTGGAGAACATCTTCGACACTTCTTTGTTGTGTGCGAAGGAAACTTGAACCCTGTATTGAAAGGTTCTTGAATGAATGCACAACCAAATTAACTGAGAACTATCCAGCCCCAGGTTATGATTGTGGGTTTTTCTATATAGAAAGAAACTCCTACTTTTTATGCTCGAAGGGGTGAACGAGGGATTAACTTCCTTATTTCTCCAGTGTTTGGGAATTGAAACAATGGTTATACATCATCAACAAAGTTTTATTCAAAAGCATACCAATAACAATTATGAGTATTTTGTTTTCATCACCCTCCCTTCAATCTTTGCATAAACAAAAGTTTGTTAAAGAAAGTAAGCAAAAGATATATTTTTTTGAAAGCAGTAAATGTAAATGATTTGAGTCAAAACAGTGCGATCCTCATTTAATTTAAATTAACATGAAAGTACAAACGAAATTTGAAAGCAATTATTCAACATAAACAAGGGAAAGTGCAAACAGAAAGAAACATGGCCTAGTGACTAATCAACAACAAGGTTAAGTTGTCCCATTAAAACACTAGCTTTAGGAGGATAGGTTGGCTCTGACTGTAGCTTCACTTGTCATGTCCCAGAAGAGATTGTTGATGATACTAGGACATGTATCTTTGAAGGACAAAATTCCCTAACAAAATCTTGAACTCTGGTCTACCATTCTTCTTCTGATGTTGGCTCTGATTCTATACTTGTACAGAGGAATCAGTTTAACGGTAGACGACCAACTGGAAGAAAGAAACAACTGGGAATGGGATTCTGG